CAATGCCTAACCTCTTATAAATGACCAGGGGCATGAGATTAATGCTGGCCCCTAAATCACAGAGTGCCTTAGCAAAGGCATAGTTCCCAATAGTGCATGGAATTGTAAAACTACCTGGATCAGATAGCTTTTCAGCAACAGGTCTAGATACCACTGCACTACATGTCTGAGTAAGGGTCACAGTCGACAAGTCTTGAAAGTCAAACTTCCGAGACATCAAGTCCTTCATCATTTTAGCGTATCCTGGCATCTCCTTTAGCGCTTCAATCAATGGAATGTTTATCTGGATTTGTTTGAGCATCTCTAGGAACTTTTTATACTGCTCCTCCTTTTGATGCTTGGCCAACCTTTGCGGAAATGGTGCAGGAGGTCTTTTCTTCCCAATTACTTGGGATTTCTCCTTCTCCGCTACTGTCTCAATTACTGGCTCAGCTACTGTCTCAGTTTCTTGCTGCATATTCTTTTCTTCAGGAGCAGGCTGAACTGTTACCTCTGTCAATCCCGTAGAGTCATCCAGCTCAATGGGCACTGGAATTAGTGTCTCAGCCTGTATGTTTTCTCGAGCTCTCTCTTGCTCAACATCTAGATCCCTACCATTACGTAGACTCACCGCCATCAGCTGTTTTGGGCCTTGATCTTTTGGATTGATTTGGGTATCTGCAGGTAATGTCCCTTGAGGACGATTGTTAAGTGACATTGAAATCTGGCCCACTTGTACCTCAATATTCTTGATAGCTGCATCATGTGCATCCACCCTTTCATTTATTTTAGCATTGGACCCAATAACCTGCTGCATCATTGCTTCAAGCCTTGCAAACCCGTCTTCCTGTCTTCCACCCTGCTGTTGCTGAGGTGGATGGTACCCTTGCTGCTGATTGTTGTACCCTTGTGGTCTAGGATACGGTGCCATGTTGTTGGGGGGTCTCATGCCTCCCATGTTTCCGGCGTTATACTGTGGCTGCGGTGGCCTGTACTGCTGCTGAGTCTGCTGACCCCAGTTCTGATTACCTTGCCTCTGACCCTCATAGTTAGCCACATAGTTCATATCTTCAGGGTGCTGGTGATGATGATCATGCTCTGTATTCCATGGATTACCAATTGGCTGGCTAATGCAAGATGTGCACAATCCCCCGTTGGTAGTGTCTACTATGTGAACCTGTTATTTCTGCCCTGATTCCTCCACCTTTTTGGTGAGGATGCTCATTTGCGTCAAAAGAGTCGCCATGCTTTCAGCCATTGTATTAGAAGGATCAAGAGGCACTGAGTGCACCACTGGAGTGATAGGTGCATTTCTAGAAGTCCAACCCGAATTCTGCGCCATCTTGTCGAGCAAATTCTGACCTTCTCTCCAAGTCTTGCTCAAGAATGCCCCACCGGCCGAGGCATCAACTATATTCTTCAAGCTGTCTGACAATCCCATGTAAAACCGTTGTCCCAACATCTGCTCTGGAACACCACGGTGGGGACACATAACCAACATTCCTTTAAACCATGTCTCGTGTAGTGTCTCCAATGGTTTCTGTTTGAAGCTCACAATCTCATCAATTTGTTGAGCGGTCTTGTTGGGAGGATGGAACTTGTTGTGAAATTGCTTGACCAACTCATCCCAAGTTGCTATAGAGTTTATGGGAAGCGAGTTTAGCAAAACCTGAGCAGCTCCTGTCACCGAGAATGGAAACAATAATAGTCTGATTGCTTCCGGAGTCACGTTCGGTTGCCTTTGAGTTTTGCAAATAGACAGGAAGTTCTTTAAATGTTGCTGAGGGTCTTCTGTTTGTGTCCCAGAAAAAAGTCCCTTGTTCTGCAACAAGTGTAGCATGTTATTTGTGATCTGGAACGATTCAGCTTGTATCGCAGGCACAATAATGGCAGTGGCCAGGTTGTCAGCTGTTGGTTGTGCCCAGTCATAAAGTGCACCCTCAGGCACAGGAGGTGCCAATTGCTCATCCCTGACGTTCCCGTTGGGGTCGTTTATGTCGCCCATGTCAATTTCGAGTTGGTGTATTTGTTGTGATTGTTGAAGTCTTTTGTTTGCACGATTCAATACCCGGAATGTCTTCTCGGGGTCCGAGAGTCCTTCAAGCAGTTCTCCAGTCCTCGTAGAATTTCTAGGAATGCACCTGTGCACCCAGATCAACAACCGTCAAATTTTCAATGAAAAAAGTTGGTAGAGAGAAACTGAATACAACAATAATCTTTGTATTTCTGTCAATGGCAGTTGATAATTCCGTTAGTTCCCCGGCAACGGCGCCAAAATTTGATCACGCCCAACTATGCCTTCTAAAAAAGAACTCTGCGGACGTTGCAAATATAACCCGAGTATTACGACCAGGGTCGAATCCACAGAGAGTTAACCTATCAACCGCTATCTTCAGACCCACTAAGTCTTCAGAACCAGCTTCCCAAATATTCAAATTCTCAGTTGAGTGTTCTTTAATAACTAGCTTGCAAGTAACTACTAAATTAAAAGGGTTGTAAACAATTATGAGAAAAAGCTAAGGCAATGATTTCCCCTTCTGTTTATGCTCATAAAAATTTACCCACACCTCTCTATCAATCATGAACGCTAATCTTACCGCAAATCTCTCCCGAGTAATTACAGTAATCTACTATTGCACTCTCCCAAGATACACTAGCTTGCTTTATTTAGCACAATTCAATTTAGATTGCACCCAAGGCTTCGTTATTCCTAATCCCGCCTTTAAACCCGCAATTATAGATTCCTCTAATAATCTAGGAGTGGTGTTGTTCAACAATACCCTAAATATACACTCTTTTCCAAGTTATGCACACTAAATAGGCACAGCTAATTGAGGATCCTGTCAATTAACTACAACGAACACGAAGTTGAACAAATAAAGATTAAACTAGCAATTTGTATTCATATAAACAAGAAGTTCATTACCCAATAGGTTCCATCAAAGCCTTAGACAAGGAATTTAGCTACTCATGGCTATGGGAAAGTAAACTAAGCTTGAATTCATCATAAAATCAAAAGAAAAGAAGAAAGATGTTTAGAATATTTTCTCACAATGTTTTTCCTTGCTAAGAAACCTAAAAAATCAATACATGCCTCTCTCGGGCGAAGTCTAATGTTTTAAATAGGGTTTAGGTCTAAAAATCCCGTAATTGACACTTTGGTCCCTGAAGTTTACTGGGCCTGTCGCGGTTCTGCCGCGGTCGCGGTAGAACCGCGGCCAAACACCCTCGCGGAATCTCCAATCTTCAGCAGCTGCTTCCCACCGCGGTCGCGGTGGAACCGCGGTGGGCCCAGTTCTCTGAATCTTCTGGCCTGTTTTTTTGCACGCGTCACTTGGAAAATTTCACAGTTGGCCTCTTTTTCATCACTTTTGACTCCAAAACTGCTCCTTAGCCTTCTTTATACATATATCACCTACAAATCATGAAAATCACTAATAAGAGCATTTTGTCATCACTTTTAGCATTAAAAACTACACAAGAAGGTGATTATTTAAGGCGTGATTATAGTCAAATTCACCTATTATCACCGCCGCATCAGTTAAATTATACAGTGTTTGTTGGCTGTGTTAACAAAGTCGTAGCTGAAAAAATTGGAAGCTAACTATAGGAATCTCTCAATGGTATGAGGCATTTTGAGAAAAATCATACAAGCTTGACCCAAAGCGAATAATATTGGTTGGTTTAGCGCAGCAATGCTGTTGGTGGCAATCAAGAATTGAAAGCATGCCACAGGTCTCATGGCAACAGAGGATTTATTATTCATGAAATTCCCTTGTTTTAAATCATTCGTTATTTACCTTCTTTGTAAATTCTATCTTTTCTGGTAAAGGTTGCATTATCTATATTACCTACTGTTTATTTCACAATGCATTTTTATCAACTGAAAAGGTTCAAGGATAAAGATCAAATGTACAAAGCTATAATGTAGGCAATATATAACAATTCTCACGAAAATATTTGAGTTTTAGAGTCTCAAAACACAAGAGAACATAATTTAGCTAGAAAATCCCGTCACACAATATTAAAGATTGGTTCAAGAATCAAGCTAAAAAACACATTCTTATAGAGGTGTCATGCGGAAATTAGTACAGTAAATTTTGAACGATGATAAATCATACAACCAAAGAAAATATACCAAAAGAGACAAACATTTAACGTGGTTTTATCAATTGACCTACATTCATATGCGGAGATGAATAATTCATTCACTGTATAAAAGAGGGTACAAAATATCAAGAGAACAATATCATAAAAAAGCACACACAAGTGGTAGGCTAACACTTCTTTCACAAATTCTCCCCCTAAACAAGACTCTCAAGCTACATTGTGAATGCTACTTATCCTTAATTTATAAAAATCAAATCTTTTCCTCTACGAAAAAAAAAAGACAAGTCAAATATAAAAAAAAATAAAAAAAAAAAAATCGTAAAAAGTAAAATCAATTATGGTAAATATATTGTCTTTCCTTAAAGATAGAAAAATGAAATATGATAAGAAAAGCCTAACAAACACGTGCCAAAATCCGCAGGACTAAGCCTCTAAAAAGAAACTAGAACCTACTATGCTAACAGGCACTCAAAGCTAGTATAATATCATCTATATTTCCGCAGTTCAACCAATGAAAGAAAAGTTTCAAGTAATAACAGAGATGATTCAGAATATATGATTTTACTGTTTGACTAAGTATTTGTTGAAGAGCTCAGCTATGGAGTCAGACGAGAGCATGCACAAATGTAATTAGAGAGAAGAGAAGAGATGCTCCAAACTGACCCCATTAGATGATCAGTAAGAAATGAAATCTATACAGTGTTTATAACTAACTAACTGCTACTTATACAACTAACCAACGACTTTACTTAACTTAATTATAGCTCATTGACAGTTGTACACCCACACACCTAGAGTTCTCTACACTCCCCCTCAAGTTGAGGAATGAAAACAGGTTCTTCACCAGCTTGCTCACTAAGTATTCATGTCGTGGACTATACAGGCTCTTTGTCAGCGCATCTGCAAGTTGTTCTTTGGTTCCAATATGTTGTGTTTGGACCAGACCTTCCTGAATTTTCTCCCTCACAAAATGATAGTCTATGTCAATGTGTTTTGTCCTCTCATGAAAGATGGGATGAGCTGCAATTTTAATAGCAGCTTTGCTATCACAGAAAAGTTGTATTGGAACCTGAACCTCAATGCTAAGTTCTTTGAACAATCCTGTTAGCCATGTAATTTTGGCTACTGCTGTGGCATGCTTCTGAATTCTGCTTCAGCTGAGCTTCTGGAGACTGTTCCTTGCTTCTTTGATTTCCAAGATATCAAGGCTTCTCCAAACTTGATCACATAATGTCACGACCCGGAATTTCCACCTTCGGGATCGTGATGGCGCCTAACATTTCACTTGCTAGGTAAGCTTTTTAATCACTTTGAACAATTTAACCAATTAAACAGAAATGAAATTCATAATAAAGTACAAAATGGCGTAATAAACCAAAATTCAATATAACCTGGATCTAGAGTCACAAGTACACGAGCTTCTAGAGTTTCTACAAATAGGGTTTGAAATAAGTGCAACTGTCTCGAATGAAAAGAACAGTAAATAGGGGGAAAGTGGAAGGGGACTTCAAGGTCGTCTACCTCGAGTCTCCAAAGCTAATCCGAGCTAATACGCCTCATGGGCAGCTGGGACTAGTACCAAAATCTGCACAAGGAGTGCAGAGTGTAGTATGAGTACAACAGAACCAATGTACTCCGTAAGTGTCGAGCCTAACCTCGACGAGGTAGTGACGAGTCTATGACAGGACACCCATGTAAATAAACCTGTGCGGATAACAACGTACGTACACCATAACGACAAATAAAGGCTAAACATGTACTATTGGGAGGGGACATGCGAAAGTGATACAAGATACGATAACTATAGCAAGGAATGATAACCAGAAACGGTCAATAAGCCTTTAACCAGTAAAACAAATAAACATAATGAATAAAACTGCACAGCATCACCCCTCGTGCTTTTACTCTCAACCTCACTATGAAACAGTAATAACGGGACTGCATCACCTTCGTGCTTTTACTCTCAATTCTATCATGAATCAGTAGTACGACACGACATACGTGCATTAACTCTCAAATACGGCACAACATCACCCTTCGTGCGTTAACTCTCAATATGGCACGACACCACCCTTCGTGCATTAACATTCTCCCTTACCATATAATAATGAATATATAACAATAGGGAGATAGAATAAACAAGGACAAACCTTACGTCAACAATGGTCCCACAATACCAACCTCAACCTCAGAACAATACTCAATTATCACAAATAGCCCATAAATGCAGAAAGAACGATCAGTTTAGTAATTAACTAGTCTAAACATGGATATCATGATCAAAGAAAGCGATAACTTACAAGAAACAAGTCCCACCCGCATGCTTTAACCCAATAACAACGCATAAGTACTCGTCACCTCACATATACGTTGTACCCAACATTTAAATAAGTAGCAAATAGGCAAACAAGTCCTAATCCCTCAAGTCAAGGTCAACCACGACACTTACCTCGCTCTAAAGATCAACTCAAAGCTCAAACACGGCTTTGCCTTTCGAACAAGCCTCTGAACCAACCAAATCTAGCAATTTATTAACCAAACAATTCAAAATAAGCCTTAGGATCTACCCACGGATGCAAAAGATTCAATTTAGATCATTATTGAAAAAGTCAGCAAAAGTCAACTCCCGGGCTCGCTTGGTCCAAACCTGAAATTCGAACCAAAACCCAATTACCCATTAACCCCCGAGCCCGGTTATGTAAATGTTTCGAAATTCGACCTCAATTCGAGGTCTAAATTCTAATTTTACAAAAACCCCTAATTCTACCCAAACCCCCAATTTCTACCATGAAAATTCTAGATTTTTGGTTGAAATCTTATAAAATGTAATGGATGATTGAAAGAAAATAAGTTAGAATCACTTACCAATGAATTGGGGAAGAAAGGCTCTTGGGAAAATCGCCTCTAAGGTTCTCTAGGTTTGAAAATTTAAAAGAGTGAGAGAAATCCTGTCTAACTCGCCTTTTGACCAGGCGTAGATGTCGCAAATGCGAACCCTGGCTGACCCAACCCTCTTCGCAATTGCGACCCAAGCAGGAAATTGGGTTTTCGCAATTGCGAACACTGACCTCGCAATTGCGAGGTCAGAGACCTGCATCGGAACTGAAGCATACTAGCATTATTTCTAAGTCTAAACTCACTCCGTAAACTATCCGAAACTCACCCGAGCCCTCAGGGCTCCAAACTAACCATGCACACAAGTCACAAAACATCATACTAACTTGCTCGCGCGATCAAATGGCCAAAATAATACTTAGAACTACAAATCGGATACCAAATCAAATGAAATTTTCAAGGAAACTTTAGAACCTCTATTTTAACAACCGGACGTCTGAATTACGTCAAACCAACTTCATTTCTCACCAAGTTTGACAGACAAGTCATAACTATAGTAATGGACCTATACCAAATTCAGGAATCAAAATACGGACCCGGTATCAACAAAGTCAAACATTGGTCAAACCTTTAGAATCATTAAGCCTTTAAACTTTAAAATTTTGACAAAAAGTGATAACTCGAGCTAGGGACTTCCGAATTCGATTATGGGCATACGCCCAAGTCCAAAATCATGATACGGACCCACCGGGACCGTCAAAATATAGATTCGGGTCCGTTTTCTCAAAATGTTGACCGAAGTTAACTCAAATGGATTTTAAGGCAAAATTTCATATTTTATCAATTTTTAACGTAAAAGCCTTTCGGAAAAATAGACTATGCACGCAAATCGAGGAAGGCTTAAAGAAGCTATTGGAGGCTTTGAACACAGAATTAAGGTTTAAAACTCTAGATGACCTATCGGGTCATCACACATAACTAGTTACTGATGTTCTTGTTTCCACACAAGCACCCCAATCTGAATCTTAATAAGCAGTCAGCTTCATATTTCTACCTGTTGGCATGAACAGACCTAGGGCTTGAGTTCCCTTTATATATCTGATGACTCTCATGGCAGCACTCATGTGAAACTGCTTAGGATCATGCATGAACTAACTAAGTACTTGAACCACAAAGGCTATGTCAGGCCTAGTCTTGGTCAAGTACAATAGTCTACCTACTATTCTCTGATATCTCCCTTTGTCTTCAAGTTCACTGTCATTGTCACTACCATTCTTGGTGACAATCTTATCAAATTCCATAGAGGTTAGCTTGTGATTGAACTCTAGCGGAGTAGTCATTGGCTTTCCACCTGACAGACCAAGCTCAGAAAATAGTTCAAGTGCATACTTTCTTTGGCACATTTGAATTCCCTTTTCTGATCTAGAGAATTCAATGCCCAAGAAGTATTTTAGCTCCCCAAGGTCGTCTATTTTGAACCTGACCTGTAAATCATTCCTCACTTGCTCAATCAGCTTCAAGTTAGTTCCATTACTAGGAGATCATCTACATAGACAAGTATGACTACCAGGTCTGATCCCTTTTATTGTGTGAAGAGAGAATAGTCATAATGAGACTGTTTGAACCCCATATCCAGCAAAGCTTCTGTTAACTACAAGTTCCACTATCTAGGAGCTTGTTTGAGCCTATACAAGGACTTTTTGAGCCTGCACACCTTCTGATATTAACCCTGACTTGAAAAGCCATATGAAATTTGCATAAAAAACTCTTCAGAGAGGTCCCCTTGGAGAAATGCATTATGCACATCCATCTGAAAAATGTACCAGTGAGAAGCTGCTGCCAGAGCTACCACAGACCTTACTGTAACCATTTTGGCCACAGGAGAGAATGTCTTAGTATAGTCTAGTCCCTCCTGTTGGCTAGACCCTTTGGCTACAAGCCTGGCTTTGTATGTTTCCATCTCTCCATTTGATTTGTATTTTACCTTCAACACCCATTGCAACCAATGAGAGTTTTGTCCTGAGGCAAGTTAACTATGGTCCAAGTCTGGTTCTCTTCAAGTGCTGCTATTTCAGCCTTCATAGAATTAACCCAGAGGGGATCCTTGCATGCTTCAACATAGGATGAATGATCAAGTAATACTGAGTAAGCAACCAAAGAAGCTTAATAGGCAGGGGGAAGTGACCATAACAGACATAGGACGAGATAGGATAAGAACATAAGGGCATCTTAGACTGCAATACATAATCCTGCATCCACACAGGTGGTTTAGAGGGTCTAGAAGATCTTCTGAGTGTCTCCACGGCTAGCCGAGCCACTGGCTGAGAGGATAATGAGGAAGTGCTGGAACTGGGAGAAGAAACAGAAGAATATGGTGGAAAAGGCACAGCAGGAGAAGCAGGAGAAGAAGGAGTTTCCTCAGCAATGGAAGAAGATACAGGATCAGACACTTTAAGTTCTAGAATAAGAAATAGAGGTGTGATCTTAGACTTTACGTCTCCGAATGGAAAGATGTCTTCCTTGAAGACTGCATCTCTGCAAACAAAAAAATCTCTACTACTGAGGTCATATAAACAATAGCCTTTCTGAGTGACAGAATACCCCAAATGCACAGCAGGAATTGCTCTAGGACTGAACTTGTCAGTCTTCTTCACATTAGTGGAATAACATAAGCTTCCAAATAATTTTAGATGCTTCAAGGAAGGATCTTTATGAAACAGTCTCTCAAATGTATATTAGCCCCTTAGAAGAGTGGTAGGTAGCCTATTCAGAAGATACACTGCAGCCGTTACACACTCTCCCCAAAATTATAAAGGAATGAATGCCTGGAACCTCAAGGCTCTAGCCATATCTAAGATATATTTGAGTCTTCTTTCTACCACCCTATTCTGTCGAGGTGTGTAGATACAAGAACATTATGAAGAGTTCTATCTTGAAAAATGTGTGAATCGCCAGTTTTCTTAATGATTACTTGTTCTCCGGTAGGTAGGTGCACTCTGTTTATTTTCAAACCTGTCAACTCTTTGAACTTACTTAGCAACCCCAAGTTATGTACCATGTGATTAGTAGACCCTGTGTCAACTATCCGGTTATATCAACTAGATTAGACATAAAGGTTGTGGTAATACCTGCAAGTCCTACTTTAGCTGTGTTGGCTACAGATTCAACTTCCTTTCCTTGATTCAGCATTTGCAAAATTTGAGAGTATTGTTGTGGAGTGAAGAATTGAGCATGTGATGGTAATTGTATAGATGAGGAATTCCCAGCAGTCTGAGAACTGAACTGGGACAGATTCTGCTGCATATCAGGTGCTGAAAGTGCTGAACTCGTATTGATCGCATTGTTGGCATAGTTGTTAGGTCCTCATCCTTTCTTTTTTATACTTGAAATCAGCTGGATAACCATATAGCTTGTAGCAATTATCCTTTGTGTGACCCTTAAGCTTGCAGTATTCATAGTAAGGGGGAGTCTTCCCATAGTTATTTCTAGGTCTATAACCACCTCCACTTGATCCTCTATTGCTTAAGAGTGCAGCAGGTTCTCCATTCTTAGTACCAACACCATTGGCATTCCCTCCACTAGTTTTCCTTTGGCTTTGAATATTAACAATCATAGCATAAGCTTGATTTATGTTTGGCAATGGTCTAATCATGAGAACTTGATTCTTAGCATTCTCATAAGACTCATTTAAACCAGACAGAAATTGGTACAGTTTTTACACTTGATAATGTTCAACATGTTGCCTAGAGTCAGGACATCCACAAGAGGGTGGAGGATCCAGAGTTTCATATTCATCCCATAGTTCACAGAGTCTTAAAAAATATACAGATACAGAAGACACTCCCTAAACGAGTGTGAAAATTTCCTTATGCAAATAACAAGCTCTAGATGCATTCACTTTGTCAAACCTCTCTCTTAAGTCTTTCCACACCTTATATGTATTAGAAGCATATATCACTGTGCTAATTAGACTTGGAGAAACTGTGTTCATTATCCATGCTAACACAATTGCATTACACCTATCCCACAACTTATGTAGACTGACATCATACAGGTTCCTAGCACAAATCCTAATTTATTTTTACCGTGAAGAACAATTTTTATAGATCTACTCCAAATCGAGTAATTTTCAGAACCTTGAAGTTGAATTGAGATGAGAACAGAACCTTGAGTGTCTGAAGGATGAATGTATAGTGGATGATTGTGATGAACAAGCTCGAGATTCTGCGTGTTGTGCGAATGAGCAGCTGGTGTACTTGAGGTTTGAGCAGATGGTACTTCTTCATTAATTGGCATCGTTGCGACACAAATTTAGCAGAAACACTTGCTTATCTCTTCACTAAATCACAATCGAGCACTGAATTGTACTCGCAATTTCTCAAAAAAAAAATAGAGATGTTCGTTGAGTTCCAGCTAGATACAGAAAAGCCCTAATTTTGGAACTTTTGTTCTTAGCTAAGAAATTGACTCAACAACTGCTGGTCAACACTCGTCTGATGTTTGCTGAGCTGAGGGATCTAGCTCACAGCTCTGATACCATGTTGAAGAGCTCAACTATGGAGTCAGACGAGAGCATGCACATATGTAGTTAAAGAGAAGAGAAGAGAAGTTTGGACTGATTCCATTAGATGATCAGTAAGAAATCAAATATGTACAATGTTTATAACTAACTAACTACTACTTATACAACTAACCACCTACTTTACTTAACTTAATTACAGCTCATTGACAGCTGTACACACACACCTAGAGTTCTTTACACTATTTCCATTCCCTATATAGAAGCTAAACTTCTTGTCTTCTTAGTTTAAATTATTTTAAATATATTTTAAACAAAAAAATATTGATGCCAAATAACCATTAACACATAAAAGTAATACTATTTAATGTGCGCCTAATACACAATAACTTCAAATTCTGGATTCATATGAAATAGATAATCGTAAAAGAAAATATACTTAATAATATTGCGAACTTTTCACTTTAAAGGAAGTGGAAAAAAAGGATCTTTACACAAATAGATAGGTAAATTTATTATCTATTTTTTCTAACTAACTAACTAACTAACTAACTAACTCTATATATATATATATATATATATATATATATATATATATATATATATATATATATCATCTACTTTTAGTTTAATCGGTTAAGTAAACGACTACACCCAGAACTTTATATGACAGTCATTTACTGTAAAAGTCAAGTGTATCTCGGAATCAATTATTGTGTTATATTATAATATGTATCCTCTATAACAACACTTCACTATAGTAGCAAAAAATTATCGGAATAAACGAGGCTGTTATATAGATGTTTGACCGTATTTAGGTTAATTTTGAAAAAAAGGAAAAAAGAAAGTGGGTTGGGCTGATCCAATCTTTTGGTCTGTAGAAAGCCCAACCCACTTCAAACGACCGAACAACTTCTTAGTTTCAGGAAAGGAATTTTTACCTTCCTATACCACATATGAAACCTTATTACCCTCAATGTTTAAGGTTTGAGTTAATTACATTTCAGCATACCACATTACCATTTATATACCATAATTAATTTAGAGGTATAATTAATTGGCAGTTTTTTACTCCTTAATTAAAGGTGTCCATATATCTCACGTTTCTCTCTCCCCTTAATTCCCAAGATCTGACCAGCACTGTTTTCCCCCTCCCATTTCTTTCTCTTCTCCATTCCTTCTTCTTCTCAAAAAATACAGAGAAGAGACCCATTTTTTATAATCAGATTTTTAGCCAAAGAGATTCAATATGAAACCCATTGTAAATCCCATACAATAATAACGCTAAATACTGGCGGTGGCTGTGGCCAACACCAATTTGGTACATATACAACCCTGAAGATTTCATTAAGGAATAGTCATGGGCCTTTGACACCTTTGACAAGGATGAAGATGGAATAAGAAATGTTGGTTTATTTGTAGTTTTTTTTGTGAAATTTTGTAGATGAAGAGAAAATTTTGTAGTCAACATATTTTTTCAACATAGATTATAGTTTAATTGTAGTATAAATGTAGTAATTTTATAGATACCCTTAAAAACAATACAACTTTATACAATACTTAAACTGATTTGTAGTTTATTTGTAGAAATTTTGTAGATAAAGAGAAAATTTTGTAGTCAATATTTTTTTTCAACATAGATTGTAGTGTAATTGTAGTATAAATGTAGTAATTTTGTAGATACCCTTCAAAATAATACTGCTTTATACATACGTAAACTGATTTGTAGTTTATTTGTAGATTTTTTGTAGGAAATTTGTAGATTAGGAGAAAATTTTGTAGTCAACATTTTTTTCCAACATAGATTGCAGTTTAATTGTAGTATAAATGTAGTATAAATGTAGTAATTTGTAGATACCATTAAAACAATATTGCTTTATACATGCTTAAACTGATTTGTAGTTTATTTGTAGAAAATTTGTTGACTGGAGCTAGAGGAATGGAAAATTTGATTCTCTTTTTCTTCTTCATGGGAGACTCCCCGAAATCAGATTCCAATGTATCTTCAGGCGCAACAAATTGCTGGTGAATCTCGGTAATGGATGATGTTGGAGACATGACTTGACTTACTGGGCGTGGATTAAAAGTTGCAGGGCGAGGACGTGAAATATGAGGAAAGAGAAGCCTGCAGAAAAAGGAGGAAACAAATCTGATGTGAATATGAAAAAATATTTAGTCCCAAATTTTTAAGCGCCTACTTGGAAGGAATAAGCTATTCAAATATTTATTCCAGATTTGTAGGCGCCTAATTTGGAAGGAATCAGCTCTTAATATTGGGTATTTAATAAATGATATAAATTTTGTAGGAAAAATATAAACATGGCGCGCGTAATAATGAAATTATGCACATTTTTAGTAACAAGGTTTCCTATAGGTTATAAATTAGTATAAATTACTTCAGGAAACTACAGACAAGTGGCCCATACTCCACTAATCTTATT